CTGTAGAGATCCATTCCTTATGATGGTATTTCTGTAGACCGAGAACCTCTTGACACGTTGAAGTTAATGCTTCCTTGATGCCTTTCCAGTTGTCCTCCATAGTAGTTTCTTCTTCTTTCAGTAGATCTCGTAAGGCTTGGAACCTGTTGTTGAGAGCTATCTTGAATTCATTGAGTTTGACAGTATCTCGAAGGAAGGCTGTACTGAACCTTTGTATTGCTGTTTGTCCACCTGTCCAGTTCTTTTTTAGCTTCAGTTTCAAATTGGCTACAACTAGGTGGTGATCTGAAGCTACGTCAGCACCTCTCCTGGTTCTCACATCTTCCATTGTCCTTCGGAATTTTTTGTTGATGCAAATATGGTCTATCTGGTTCTCTGTAGTGTGGTCCGGTGAGATCCATGTAGCCTTGTATATACGCTTGTGTGGAAATATTGTGCCCCCTATGACCAATTTGTTGAATGCACATAGATTTGCAAATCTTTCTCCATTCTCGTTTCTCTGTCCCACTCCATGTCGTCCCATGATATCTTCATATCCAGTGTTATCTATTCCGACTTTGACGTTCAGATCTCCCATCAGAATGGTGAGGTCGTTTCATGGGCACTTCTCTATGATTCATTGCAGCCTATCGTAGGGCTAATCTTTGTTGTCGTCATTTCTGTCATTGGTGGGTGCATAGCATTGGATAATATTCATTGTAATTCCCTCCTCTGTTTTGAATGATGCTTTGATGATTAGGGATCAGTGAGATTCCCATCCTATAAGTGCATTTCGTGCTACATTGGACAGCATTAGAGCGACTCCCTGAGTGTGTGGAGCGTTTTCCTCTTGGTGACCGGAGTATAGCAGCATTTCTCCCGTATCTATCCTTTGCTGTCCAGATTGTGTCCAATGGTTTTCGCTGATTACCAGTACTGCCAAGTTGTCTCTCCTCATTTCCGTTGCTATTTGACTGGTCTTCCTGGGCTCCGACATTGTCTGGACGTTTCATGTACCCATAAAAATTGTTGCTCTGGTTGTTATAAAGGGGAATAAATTTTGTGGCTTCCGAAGGAACTCGACATACTCTATGAGGCGCCGTAACTCTTCCAAATGAAGACCTTCTAATAATTTTTTTGGGTTAGCGTTTTTTAGCGAGTTATTTTTCCACAGGATGGGGTCGCTAACCCCAGGCATGGGAACGGCTGTAACTCTAGAAGACTTACATGCTTAATTAAGAGGTCTGGTAACGCTTAAAGGTTCCAGCTTCAAGAGCAATCTATTTGCAGGCTTTGCTGAAGTCTATGTAGATAACATTCATTGACTTCCATTTCATAGAGCCTCTATTCAGTGCTCTCTTGCTACAAAGAAGTTTGTTGTGTAAGATAATTCTTTTCTAAAACCATGTTGTTCACCGTTTAACAAGTCGTTGATTTCCACGGATGTCATTATAGCCATTGTAACGGAAAGAGAACGATGAAAATCCCTCCACACCTTTTTTGTTGGACAATAATGTCATTTACCTGTTTCTTCTCCCTGTCATGTATTTTAACCTTTGTTCAGATCTCATTTAACCCCATTTTTTCGTTCTCCAGTCTTCCTCGTTTGAGCTTTTATTACGTGATTTTGATTAAAGACTTGTCTTTTGCTACCTAATTTTCTGCTGCGTGTTGCCGGGCTATTGACAGTAAGGTCGTGTTTGACGAAGCCCAAGGTCACGGCGTGATTCAGCGTGCGACTGTTAACCTTTCGAATGTCTGCCTGGAAGGATTGCTGGAATCCTGCAGATAGATATTTGATCCCATCTTGTTGGGAATATTTTTATTGATTCTTAGGTATCGAACCCTATGGTATTAGCTGTTTCGTTTATTGTTTAGCGCGCTACTTCTGACTACATAGCACACGCTGTACCGTTTGAGGTATTTTGTATTTCTGATCTAAGTTGTTCTGTTTCCTAAATTAGAACCGTTTAAATTAAGCACGAAGTTTGTGTTTTTATATAAGATAATACGAGTGTCTCAAAGACGCTTTGTAAGCTATACAGAAGAACGTCGTTCGGCCTATTGGAATAAATTTTGGTTCGTCAGTCCTGCGTTCAAACGGAATACTGGCAATTCGGTCGTTACAGCCATTTTGATTATTCTTTCCAGTATTTTAACGATGACACTGACAAGGCCGACAGGTCTGTAATTTGATGGAATTTATCTTGGTCCTCTTTTGTGTATTGGAGTGACGATTGCATCCTTCCATTCTGTAAATAACACACGTTGATAAAGTGACATATTGAATATCACAGTCGTTGGGTTTGCGATGTATTTTGAAGTCTGTCTCAGGATTTAGCGGTGTAGTTCTTCTGGTCCCGTTGGCTTTTCTGTGACTAAAGTGCTAAGAGACTTGAATGCATCGTCACAATCAAATTTCACAGCGATCAGCCATTTTCGCGACTTTATATTTGAACTTTGTTCTTCGACTAGATGATACACCTGAATAAAAACTGTTCTGAAGTAGTTTATCGTGACCTCTTTTTTTCCTGATCATCCCGTCATTTCTGGTACACTCCCTTCCTTAGTTGGAACAGTAATGAAATGATGTATTCTTGTTCTACAGTGTTTTGTACCAGGACAATCTCTTAAACTGTTTGATTACAGGTTTGATGAGCTCAAAGATACCACAAGTACTCGGAGTTTGACAATGCCTTAATCAGTAACACTTTTTGAAGCCTGGCACTCAGGTCAATCAACAATCAACAAACACATTGAAATCGATCCAATCTATCAATCAATCAGGAGAATTATGCCTAAACATAAGAACAAAAATTAACAAAATTTGGAGACAGAACTAAAACAAAGAAGTAAACAATGACAAGTATAGGGTCAGTGAGAACGAATTAAGTTCGAGGTTTACAGGACAAACTGTGAACCTCATGTAGAGAAATTCGAACGCTTTAATTCTATTTGAAGTTTGTGCTGATGACGTCGTTCAGAGGAACGATGAAAGCTCCACGACCAATCCATTGAACTCAGAGAACAAAACTCCATCAAAATTATTCACCTGAGCTACAAATCTTCTTCACCATCTCACGAAGGTGATCAAATCTGCAACATCGCAGCGTCATAGTGGATGACGTCCTCTTAATTAAACTTAAATTCTGCTCAAACAGATTTAAAAGTTATATAGCAGGTGACTCGAATGCACAGTCTGCAAGTTGAGGAAACTTAGATGTAGGGTCATCAAGAACATCATTTGGTTATAAGTTGATGGAAATCACTGTAGCGGTAAATACATCCCCAAAATTAATAGCTTTGTAAGTCTTCGATATTTGATGACGACCGCATTAATTATAATGGACTCACTTGGCTAAAAGCTTAAGGTTTTAATAGGATTGATTGTAGTGCTTTTGTCAGTTTGTGTGCAAAACCTACTCCGGAGGTTTTCAGCAGTCTCGTTGTGGCTTGTAATATGTCTTTTATACATGGTAGGGTTATCCTTTTGGAGATTTTTGTGCTTGTCTTGGACTCTGATGATGCGTGCGGCTAATCTTTTTTGGTGAAGTTGATTGGGTAGTCGTCCTTCGGGTATTTTTCTTCATTTTTTCGTGCTGCCAGTGTGCTGCAATGTGTCCTCGCCCTTTTGAACAAAGCATGTGCGCAATTAATTTTGTGAGCTCACAAAATTTTAAGTGATACTGAGGAGTGTTTAGATTGTGTTATATATCCAAAAATTCAATTTCAGGGGGTTTATGGCTTAGTGCATTAAGATTCAGTGGATCGATACGCTCTTCCTCGGGCTCGAGTACGAGTCTTCGAAATGATTTTTGGCTTTCTAGAAGTTCCAGTGCTTTCTTATTCTTTTGGAATAAGAGAGAACACACTATTTTTCCATGGAATTCTAATGCCGACTATTTGTTGGAGATTAAGCATCTTACAAAGTATTCAAATGTGATCGGGTACGGATGATTGTCTGCTGAGCGTGTAGCGTGGTGTCGATTCGAAATTGATTATGAACACCGCTCCCAAGAAACACGTGCCAAATAAATCAATAAAATCCCCCGGAAGCCAAATATCAGAGGTCAGTTAATGGACCGAGTCGTGGTATCGAAAGAATACCGAGATCGTGCCAGGATACAAGCTTGGTAACCAAACGTAACCGAATTCGCGCGAAGTCACAATCAAAGTGTAAGAATAATGGACGCTTTTTAGCACAGTTAAACAAAAGCACATTAAAACAGTCACTGGTACGATTGGTTATAATAATAATTGTTTTCAACATAACAATCGTGTTCTCGTTATATAAGTGAGTCACTACAGTCATGTCTAGTGAAACTAAAATGCTCGTACACAATGTTGAGAACCTGCAAGGTTACGTACTTTGAAAAATTAAATGCATAACCAGTGCTCATTCTAGTGGTAAAAAAGTGATAAATATGCGTTTCGTTTTCTTGACGTACTTGTTTTTGTGAACCAACGTCAAGGTTAAATCTTAGGTGGCTTCGGCTTTCTTACACCGCTCTTTACTAATTGTGACGGTATGTGTGGTTTTTCCTTATTATTACCAAGCTGATGTATATTCAGCCTCTATGTATATTTTCGGTGGTACTTTTTCAAAGGAAATTTTGTTTTTAAAGTCAATGTATACATTTCGTAGACAAATGTTTCGTTTTGTTAATTATATACAAAATGTTGATTTGCTGCATATACTTTGTTTATAATCCACACCGCTTGTGGTAATTAGGTTGTGAAAAGAATCAGTAATAAAGCATTTACATCCAAATTGAGCGACGTGCATTGAATGTGACTCGAAAACTATAGGGTTCAACTTATGACATGTCGGATCTCAATTTCTGGCTACTAAACAGGTTTAATTTAGAACTTATACGCCTCCATAATACATTTTCACCTAAATAACCGAGAGTACTGGGTTTAATCAAAAGCTTTGTGGCAATTGTTAATATTTATTTATCCTTTCGTCATTCGTAGAGCTCCTGTTTTCACTATTTCATTGTTTATCATACTTCTCGACAGAAATGGATATGCCGTGTTTTCAGATTTTGTACAAGCTCAAAGTCTCAACATCAAACTTCCTACTGCCGTACTAAGTTTTATTTCATTACAACCTACCTTGTGGATAAAACACTGAGTATTTTGATGTTGGTGTTTACAGGTTTACACGAACTAAATATATGCCGTAGTCTAATGTACAGGTTTTGGGGTCATCAGAGTTATTCTCCTATTCCCTATTACATACTGTGTTAAGTGATTTTAGAGTTTTCTTCATTGGGTTTGTTCAGGTTGTCGAAGTTTGTAGTGTTTTGCAGCTATTAACAATAAGCTCTTTTCGTAATACATGTTAAAGGGATTTATTTTCATTAGTAAACTGATTCAATTCCACTGGGCCCAGTTATGTATCCTATCAAACATGTACTAAACTACATATGTACCTTGTAACCAATCCAGATAATGCTAGAAGATTCCTGTCAATACTTCCTATTGTCTGAAGATCTTTGATGCACCATTTTGTTGTTCGACCCAAGAAAATAACACGAGGTTTGTATGGCGAAGTAACCCATTTGTCTTCTTTTATTTTCATAGCCTACATATGAGCATGGATTGCCCTGCCGTGAATTTCCATGGCATTGAACTACAATCTCACGAGAAAGGGGGTAGTAAACAGAATTCTTTTTGTGCCCTCCGAACCCCTTCTAATCTAGAGGTGAGCTAAATTTGGCCATTTGGATATATATGTTTCTGACTGCACAAATTTTCATTGTCATAATATGAAATAGTATTTTTTAAAGATTATATCATAACAGAACATGCATCTAAACTTTTTCGATGTATTACGTTCACGTCTTCATTGCAAATTTTATTTTGCCAAAATAGTACAGATGCATGGTTTTGTTTATAGAGGCTGGTATCCAACATGTCAGTGTGACTGACTGCATAGTGGCTTGTTATACCAACCGTTATGTCCTATCATTCTTTGCCTTCCCTTAAATTCCAAGTTCCAATATGATTGCAGATTTTAGGCTTAGTATCGTTCCAAAACTTTCTGTGATTAATAATTAGGCATTTTTCGACCTGCAGTATTGGTTTTCGTAAGACAGTTTAAATAACGTGCGGATGGTCAAAGGAATAAATAACATCAGTCCGTCAATTTTAACCATCACATTGAAATACTTAGTTGGGTCATGTCTATCTGGTTAGGTTCTATACAAGAATCGTGATTAACAGTGAAAGACCTGTGATATGATTCAATATCGGTCATAGTAGCGTAGCTGCATCCATTCTTCTGTTTTTTCCCGTACCTCGAATTTCAATACAGTTTCATACTTTTCACTCCACGAAGTCGTTCCTTCTTGTTGAGCGATATATTCGATTTAGCCTTCGTCACAATCATGGACAGTATCATTACTTCGACTTATTTGCCATGTATCTTGTTTCTTTCGTCTTAGTTTATTGATATGGTGTAAAAACTTTGATCAGTTCTTATTTAAGTTTCATGTGAATTACGACATAGTGATTGATTTTAGTTGAGATTTTACTGTATTTATTATTATTAGATTTATTCAATATTATATTTTTGGTACAATTTATAATTCTCAGCGCAAAGCATTTCAGCGAGTTTCCATTTCTTATTTCTTGGTTGATCCCGACGATAAATATTGGGTGATTGCCAATTAGATGTTGGCAGTTCAGGAGTCGACATCTAAATAATGTACATTCTTTTCGATGTATATTGCCAGCAACCACAATGTCTCCGACTGTACTTTTCTGTAACTTGTACAACGAAAGATCGTAAAGGTTTCACAAACGCACATGAATAGGTTGTGCAGTTTATTGACATATTGATCTATGGAAACAAACAAAAGACAGATAACGTGTTGAAATATCTAGATGGCAGGAATAGGCAGTCCATATATTCAAGCAGGCCGCTTAATAGCTTGTAGAATTAAAGTATTCTTAATATGTTGAGGGATAAGATTCCTTAATAACTTTCTAAGCACGTCTTATTACCTGACCGCATCCTCATTGTAAATTTATGATGCAGGTTTTTAGCCATTTAATGCCCCAATCACTAGGGTACAGGTTCAAATAAATTTGTAGACGACCAAATGGGTTGCTTAGATATGTTAATCTCTATAGGGATTAAGTTACTCATCAGTTATGTATATAAAATCTAAGCACTAAGATCACATTTTTTCTTTCGAGTGATATCACCTGTAAATTAGTTTATCGACTGTTTTATTTATTTTATTATACCTTAAAAAACCTTTCAACTGATAGGAACACGAGATACTCACTTCTTCTGGTTTATACCAACGGGTTTACGTTCAACCTAATAAGAATAAAACTGCAATTATCACTTATCACGATATTGGAACTAATCGTAAGTACATGAGTTCAAAGAAACATTATACTAGGACATGTGTACATGTATTATTATTATTATTATTATTATTATTATTATTATTATTATTATGGCAAAACTACCATACCGACTGCTTTAAGCGACCAATCAAAACCAAGCTAATCTATTCGAAATACTAGGCATTTTTAGATAGTTTGTTATTGGAAAAGTTGATTTTGATAGTCGCATTTTGAAAGCATTGGATGACGTTTTTTTCTGGAATAAACCATTAAGGTTAATGTATTAGGCTTAATAGTTAGGTTTCAGAATTACTAGATTTCTAAGTTATTCGGACTACGGTGCTATTGTTTCTGGCCTGATTTATTGATAGTTAACCCTAGGGTATTCATTAATCATGTTAAAACTCTTAGTCCTCTATGTTTTAGATTGCTTTCACAAAAGCTGTGTTCTGAGTGGCTATTTTCTGGTTGGTCAATGTCAAGATCAGCCTTAAATTTTTTCAATGCTGTTAGTATACTGTGGTCCTACCATTATTATTCTTGTTTCCTAAAACCGATATCTTAAATATTTTTTGGCAACGTATTGACTCCATCAGAAATGATGAAGGAATGAGCGATAAGTGAACCATGAACATGATTTCTAGGTTTAGTTTCATATATTTTACGGTAGTAAAGAAAAACCGAATACGAATCAAGTTGATAGCATTTATTCCAGGCATTCTTTGATGCAGACAAACAATGAGAGACGTGGAGCAGAAAAAACAGGCGTACCAACTCAATTTAATTAAATCATGACTCAGCATTTATGAATATGGAAGATATGAGCAAGTTTATAAATACACACATACTATAATAAACCATCTCAGGGTCATATGTGTAAGTGATAAAATGATCGGAAAGATCACGATGGTTCATCTTTCTAAAGGTAAGTATAAGTTGTGTAAGCGTGTGACAATAATGCGACCAAATTATACTACACTGACAACCTTGGGCAACTCATCGGATAATCAGAAAACAGTACCTAGTCATGAGGCGATTAACAATAGGAAGCAATAAAACTACAGTTGAGGGATGGTTTCGATATGATGGTCCATTGTATCATAGAGGGAAGTAGTTAGGTTTGCATGACAGGAGTCAGGCTAGTGTTGTGAGTTGTCCAAATACCATGTCACATTCACTATGTGGTTGCGTGGTAGATATCTTAGAAAGGAAAATAAAGTTTGAAACATTTTAGTAATCAAAAATTTTCAATTTTCATTTAGTTGACATAACATGCAAAATATCTAACACTGGGTTTTTAATTTCGTACAAAGATATACACAACTCTATCTCAATTTTGCTTGATTCACTCAAGGGCGTCAGTATAGTATACTTTTACCAGTAATACTAACTGCTACATTTTCATGTTTCATTGTGAAAATTGAGTTATTGATCCTTTTCGACAAGATTTATTTATTGTTCATGATCACTTTTTTTGGATGACATGAAAAAAATTATCTGTTCAGTATAGTTTTTACTTTGTTTATTTTATTGTTATTGTTTCAAACAAGATACAATTTGTTAATCAATATTTAAAGGATGTGTCAGGATCATTCCCATCATATGTGTTTCATGAAGATTCGTTAGATTTTTGAGTATCTAGATTGAAAGCAGTATATAATAATACTGTCTCTACGCAATATTCTCTAGGAGCACACTAGCCCCCAAATGCCTTGGTATGGCCGAAAGTGGGGAGGGTCATCTCTCCCTCTCGAGATGCTCTCACATGGCCACGTGCATACAACCACTGCCAGAGAAGTCCTACTGTTGTAACGTGAGTGACTGCAGATAAGAGCAGCAGTGTATTTCTTGATCGATTCAGTGACACGTAAACACGTAATGAACGACCTAGAGTCCCGATTGGCCCTGCTTCGCTGTCTAGCCCAGCCAGTTGAGTCCAGAACACAAGTCACAGCCTCTGAGATATGAATCATTATATTTCAGACATACTCTATTTATATACCAATCAACCAGACCACATCGTACCATAAAATAGAAAACAACATTTGTACAATATTTAACAAGTGAAATAAATATCGACCAATAGGGAGTGTACATTTAAAGTCCAAGGCCACCATTAGACTTAACATGATAATTATTGGTATATTTTTCTGCACATCCTAACACCTGCTCACTGCCTTCTCGCCAACGAGGTGTTGTTTACAAAATTGAGAGGACGAAAAGCGAATGTCCGGTGCTTTAACCGGGTTAGTGGACATGGAAAGTCCACCTATGAAAGTTGTAAAACCCTAATTTCAAACCAATGGTGTATATAGGCTCCAGTATCCTGAGGGAACAAATGGAGTATGAACCAATTGTTGATCACCGGCTACCATAGGACTGAATCTTCTTACGTTGCTCCACTGCCTTGTGGATTAGACCTTTATGTAGAAGGCTCCGGATGGGGCCCTCTGAGAAAACCACCTGCTTCGGTTTGGGCACTTGTGCAGTATTCCAGCCGGATATCTATTTGGTGCCTCCTTGTGCCAATGTTTATGCACTAAAATAAATAAATAGATAGATAAATAAATAAGGAGCAAACTAAAATGATATCTCACTCTAAAATAACACTAAAGTTTTGTATTTTCATATTCATCGAAGTATTGTTTAATACTATTCATTTGTAGAATAAGTGGTCGTCTTATTGATGTTTAAAGCAATCAGATTTCGGCAAAATTCTAGCAGCTTATAAATGTACTCTATTTAATTCAGTTTTAAAAATTCAAGTTGTGTTATCAGGGATTTACACGAAAAGTCTTACGGAAAATTAAAACGATGTTATACTTGGTTGTTAAATAGAGATAGATGATCTTTAAAGCTCTGTATACTAAAGTTTAGCATTTATGTAAACTGATTGCAGGAAATTTATAGTCAAATAGCATCCAAGTTATTGGAATAGTCTGGGGTGGAGGACATTTCACTTATTATAACGATTGATTATACTTAGTTAAATTATGATAATTATTCTTATGTGAACCACAGCATATTAGTAACAACACAGAACTGTGGTTGGCGAATGATGACTTTTGTTTATATTAGTATTTCGGTAGGGATCTGGATTTCTTGTTTTTATCTACTTTTATCATATTGATGTTGTTTTAATTAAAATGAATCTATATCACGGATGTGTTAGATTATCTACTTCTTTCAATATTTCCTCGACATTTCATAACGACATTTTTCGATAACAGTTCCAACTCACTTTACATTTATTTGGGTCAATCAATTTATGACATTCTTCAGTAGCGTCTAATAGGATCATTTATATTTTCTCATTAGGAAGTAGTTAAATTGAAGTCGTCAATTTAGTTAATCCTTGTAGAACTACTAAATAAAAACTTTTGTTTTGATCAATCTTTGCACGACGTCACTAGTGGAATATATTATTGATTATTTCTATAAAGACTTCTATTGGGAATTTAGAGAAAAACATTATGAAAAATTAGATCAATACTTGGGTTAAAATACACCAAAATGTGATATGTTACTTTGTGTGTTGTAATGAATATTGTTTTTGTCTTTATTTGTGAACATTCCAGTGACCCATTTTCTTGCTATCGCGCTCACTCAATTTAGTCCTATGTCATGACTACTAATGCATTTCTTGAGTGAAATATTTTAACACTCATCTGGAGATTATTAAGAATTTTTACTTCTATCAATAAGATAATGTATACAATGTGAATGGCTTGTTGAACTAAATGCTGTCTGATCTTTTACTTATGCATAAGTGGAATCGGTACATATTCATACAATAGACTTCAAGTTGAATTTCCTATGTGCCATGTGCTATCCAACCACGAAAAATGAAGTGTGTAATCGATTTGAAATTCTTTACTGAATAGTCACTGGACAATAAACATTTGAGATACTAAATTCCTACCTGATTCAACTTTCAACAGTTGGTCACTAAACGTGGGAACAGAGAGTGGAAATATGAGAGAAGCTTCACTTTGAAAGTTAGATTTATTTGCAGAGAACAAAGAGTATTCATTTGTTTACATGTAACCTTTGGGCTTGAAAGGCCGTCGTAACAGTTATTTAATGGGTCATAAATTCGACAATCGATTAATCAAATTAAAAATAGAAATTGAGCTGCCTTCTGAGAAGTTTTCAAAAATGCTTCGAACGAGTTCACCGCTGAATAAACCAAAAAAATCTACGATTTTAGTTTGTTAACTGTCTGGATTGTCTTTCATTCTTTCTCATTATAAGTTATAAAGAATTATTTCGTTAAGTAGTTTGTAGTAATTCAGTCACTTTGGTAATAATCCTTATCTTGTAATAACAACTGGAGGATCATTTAAAAGTGAGTTTCATGCTAGTTTTATGTGAGATGACTGTTTAACAGCTTATATTGAAAAAACCCTAACTCCTTAGATTTCATCCTAAACATAGTGATATTCAGTCATTCATTGAATTGAAATTGATTTAACTCAAGCAATCAGTCAGTAACGACGTGGAACTTTGTACGTACGTACGTAGGTTCATCAGTTTGAGTTGTCATACCACATCAACACAGAGATACAATTGCCGATTCACATCCCGTAGTGGTAGAGGTAGTAAAAGTATAAGCAGTAATCAGAAACACTAGGGTTTGAAGACGTTATTCAAGGAGTATAATCCAGTGAAATAAATTTCCAAAGAGAAAAAAAGGGACATAAAGAATTCAGAAGATTAGAATTTGGGAGAACACAGAGAGTGGATGCACCTGCGCCATTGCAAACGAATTTTGAACCATGTCATTCAAGGTCTCTAACCATCGATTGCTATCATCTCGCGGATCCCAACCAGGTAGTTTACACTTACCAACATGGCTCAGTTCACATGTCAGTGACTTCATGGATTTGTGCTATGTTTTGGTCTGGCCGCCTCTAGCTTTCTTCAAACCTAATGTTACACCATAAAACATCGCACATCGGGGCAGTTGGTAGTTGGACATACGTAACACGTATCCCAGCCATCTCAACTGATGAAGTTCCACGACTTCATCAACTGATTTGCCACCCTTACCTAGTACCCGTTTCCTAACAACTGCATTACTTACTCGATAGTCCCAGGATATATGAGCAATGTTTCGAAGACACCTATGATCAAATACTAGTAACCTACGAATATCCTCTACTCTTACCGGCCATGTTTCACTGCCAATAAAATAGGACGGGACGAACTGCTGCGCAGTAAACCTATCCTTTGTTTTGGTAGATAGATATCTCGCCTACACCATAAATGATGTAAGTTGGCAAAAGCTAATCGAGTCTTTTGTATCCGTGCTGACATTTCATCACATATCATATCACAAGGATTGATGAATTCATAGGATTTCAGTTTTCTAATAAAATTTTCATAAATTTATCCATTTAATATTTCATTATTTTTCCATTAATAATCAGCTGATTTCAGTTATACTTATTTTCAATTTGATAATTTAATTATCATTATGATTATGATTTAAATTAGATGAATATAACACATGCCTTAGATACGGATATATATGTCATTGGTAACATTTCAAGGATATGAAATTTTTGATTAGTTTTCCATTTATATTCTCATACTTTATTTATTATTATTATGATTATTATTAAATGTCCTAAATTTAAAACTAAATATACCATTATTATTATTATTATTATTATTATTATTATTATTATTATATTTCGAATAAAATTCATCTATGAACTTATTTATTATTCCCGTTTAATGAACTTTTACACGTACGTGTCATGCCTTAACTGGTTACAAGTTAACCTTAATATATTTCCATCAAACTATTACACACCTTCAATTAAAATATTCTTGATAAACTGGAAACAAATAAACAAGTGATATGAATCCATATTTAATTTAGTTCATTTTTTTGTGTGTGGAAATTTCTAATATATATTTATTGATTCAGAAGGGGTTTTTGTGGATATTATAATAGTTTTAATAGTTGAGATCATAAGTCAATTGAAACTAGATTATCATGGAAAATCTGGAAGCACTGGATGGTCTAAAGGTTAGGCGTCTACTTGCGAGTCCGATAGGTCCTAGGTTCGAATTTCGTAGTGGGGGGCGAGATCGTGGATGTGCACTGCTGATGAGTCCCGCAGTAGCATGAAACAGCCGTCCAGTGCTTTCAGGTTTCCCATGGTGGTCTAACTTCAATTGATTGATGATCTCAACTATTGAAATTACCAAAATATGCATAAGAACCCACTTCTGATGCTAATCAGCATGTGCTCACTAGTGACTGACTTCAAGTGGTATTTCCGGGAGTTCTAGTGAGAAGTGACTAGTGGAGTTCAACCAGTTCTGTTGTAAGATAGTAACTCACTGAAGAAAATGATGGATGTGCCGCTAAATTTCATGGATTAGTTGAAGTTAAAAAAATATTGTTGTTGAATGTAAATTAGACTTTTATTGGTTATTGATATACTACTTTTTCCTGGTAGTAAGTAGTATGTTTGCGGTATTTTTGCAACTACCATTATAATCGATAGTCTATGAGGTTTACGCGCTCGTCTGTGTAATATGGAATATTCATTTTCCAAGAGAGTTTTCTGTTTGATATTATGTAAAGTTGAATGAGTTCTCAGTCTTGAATTTATTCTATGATGTTAACATTATTGCTTGTTTTATTGACAGTGTCGTATTGTAATAATCGCTGGGTGTGGTCCTCTAAGATAATCACCTGCTTCGGTTTGGGCACTTGTGCAGTATCCCAGCCCTCACACATATCAGATGGGATTTGTGTGGCGCATATAAATTTGGTGCCTCCTTGTACCAATATCTATGTGTTAAAATAAATAAATAAATAAAGAACATCATCGGTTTCGAACAACGTCACCTAGGTTATCCAACAACATTTTTAAATGACATGAGAACACCAAACATAGGACCTGTACTTTTTATAGAGGTTAAGGCCACTAGTCAATGGTATTATGAAATGATACCATATCTAAACACTGATACCGTCAGTCCTCCAAGTTACTCCCACATCATTCAGTGTACCTTCTTCAGGTAGGATGGCTACCATTGACATATCCTAATCATCCCACTCTGTGAAAATTTACTCTGTTATCCATTTTTCATTCAGCATAATATATTTCTCATAATCTTTTCTCATTATGTAGTTCTACTGACTGAACAAGGCTCCAATGTTTGTGTCTTAGTTGCAAGGAGTGTTAGATTTATTAAGCAATATACTTACCTTTTAATTTTTATTTAAAACTGATCTATGCTGGGTTATATCACGTTTAGTTTGTAATTATCTAGTTAACTACTACTTCATAAGGCGGTGGGTTATATAAACTGTCCAAATAAGTAAGTTGGCCAAAATATCCAACTCTCTCATGGCATGTAGTTGGACTAAGCATCATTTGAGACAAAAAATATTGAGTCTTCTATGTGTTGTTGTTACTTTTTCGTCAATGATTTATATGATTAATTAGTAAAACGATTAATAATTTAATTCACTGTTAGCATATTATGTTTATGGAATAAGTGACAAGATTAGTACATTGGAACAAATATTCTATCTCTCAACAAAATTCATTTACATTAATCTGCAAAATCTGATACTTTCCTTTAAGTCATACGTTTACATTTCCGTTTGTCCATTGTAGTTTGATTAGTTACAAGGTGTCACAATAACAGAAATCTGAGAAGTTTAAGTATCACTTATTGGCTATTGGTTTACCTATTTATTCAGTACTGTTAGTAAAAACGGGGACTAAATGAAGACAATGGGGCATGTTTTTTATGTTTTACTGAGTTAATGTCACAGAAACTAGATGCTTAAATTATTGATCTTTGTTAGATTTTGTCAATCTTTTTCGAACTTCATAATTTATGTATAAGAAAGGATGAATGATTATATAGCTGTTTGGAAATGTAAATTAAACATTTGTCATACAATCGCCTCCAAATACCGTGCTACGGTCGAGGGTTAGGAAAGTCCGCTCTCCAAATGTTTTCACATGACACGCGTATATAGCCACTGCCAGGGAAGTTCTACTCACTGCCTTCTCATGGCAAGTATGTTGTTTACGAAATTGAGAGAACCAAAAGCGAATGTCCGGTGCTTCAACCGGGTTAGTGGACACATAGGGTTCTCTCTGGGGAGTTGGGAAACCCTGATTCCAAACCAATAGTGTATATGGGCCCCATTATCCTGAGGGAACAAATGGAGTATGAACCGATTGTTGATCACTGGCTACCATAGGACTGCATCCTCTTACGTTGCTCCACTGCCTTGTGGATTAGACCTTTAAATCAAAGGCTCTGGATGTGGCGAACTGAGAAAACCACCTGCTTCGGTTTGGGGACCCGGTCGGTATCACAGCTTACACACATCAAGTGACTTGTGTGGCGTATATGTATTCGGTGCCTCCTTTTACCAGTATTTATGTGTTCAAATAAGCTAATAAATATCAATAAATTACAGACATTCACTGATAAATACTTCCAACATGTTATATTTCATCATTTTGTATTTCTTCTTCTAGATTTTATTTTTCATTGTTTAAATATTTCTATGTATATTTTAAACAGATACATCCTTCCTTAGTCTATTCAATAATCCTGAAATGCGTGTTATTACTGAAAATTTCACAGTTTATCATATATGTGCTCCTGGACACCATGAAAATGCAACAAATATTAGTTTTGGGTAAGTTCTATGTTCATATTACATATAATCAAATTGTATTATGTCGATTCTCTTATATTCTCTAAATCTGATATTCACAGTCAACTTTTAATTATAGTAGATTTTCTTCTTTTTCGTTTGTCAACATTGTAATTGTATTCTACCAAGAGTTTTTCTGTAAAATGCGTAATGTTTAAATTACACGTAAATATTATCAGAAGGAGTTTTTGTGGAGATTTTACTAATTTTATAGTTGGATTCATGACTCATGGAAAACCTGGAAGGACTGGACAACCGTTTCGTCCTAGTATGGGACTCTACAACAGTGCTCGTCCACGATCCCGCCCCGCAAGATTCGAACCCGGGACCTCTAGGTCTTGCACGCGAACGTCTAACCTAATAGGAAATTCGGTTATCAGTTATTGAAAGTATTAATTTAATTGATGAATACAACCGTTTTGTTTTCTTTTCTCATCATAAATCTTTCTTAAGGCCGACATTGAACTAAACACGTTTCTCATTGATGTTATAACTCTATAATTTAGACAATGTTGTAGTTTAGAATTCAATCCATGTTTTTTTTTGTTTATTTACTCGAATCTATTATTAATGTGTGGTGTTTGAACTGTTTAATTCTGGAATAGTGTTGATCCAATATAAGTGGTTCATAGCTCAACAGAACTTGAACACTACTCATATTTTCTCTTACATTTAACTATTAATTATTATTATTATTATTTTAAGGAGCTTGGATACTGGATTTAAACAAATTACTAGTCTTATCAGCTGTTAAATTGTAATAACCACCTATTTTTATGGGAAGAAAACCGAACACTGTTAAGTCCGTCCACCTTAGCTACAAAACATTTCCATCATTTCAAGTTGTTAGTTATAATTTAAGCGTAATTTTTTAAAAAGGAGATTGATACTTGTGTGATGTGTACTACTTGTACGGACAGATAAAAGTAGTATGTATCAGAAATTGGGAGTAGAATTTTTACAGACAGAATGGGAAAATGAGGACATGAAAAAGGGAAACAGAAAGCAATCGAAACGATAACAGGAATGAAAGAACGATGGAGTTTGTAAGGGACAACTCAAGGAAGATGGGCAAATAGTGCTTTTAATGTGTTGTTGTCATGTTTTTAAAATGCAATATATGATTTTGTATGATACAGTAAGTTGGTTTACTCTAACCAAGTCTTCGTTCATTACACTTGTACTTGTTACAAGTATGATCCAGGTAATATACGGAACATCTCTGTCGAATTGTAAGCGAATATCATAGGTTATATATCCACTTAAGTCAAACGTAATTTCTCATTTCCTCTCTCTCCGCGGTAATGATGAATATATAGTTGTCATACTGACAGAAAATATTATAGGTCGCTAGAAAGCCGTTTCAAATCAATATGGAACTACTCAGTAGTGCGTTTCCACAATCTCGTCAGGGATTAAACCCAAAACGTTCAATTCTCGAGGTTAATACCAAACACTAGAACCACTGGGTCAGCATCCAATGATACAATTCCAGCTTCAATCAACTTGTGATATAGGCGTTCATCAAATCCCTAAAGTAACAACTGTTTTACTAGCAATATGTTTGAACTTCATCAGCCACCACTTCTCAATCTGTGATGAGTACAGCCTACAAAGTAAACCAACTTTCACGAAACCCTCTTTAGCTATAAACTATGATAGTCACCTTACTGATGGCTGACTTCAAGATCTTCCTGAACTTCTAGTAAAAGTCTTGGCTAGTGGAATTCAGACAGTGATACAGCTTTTATTAATGACATTTTGTGGTCGTCACGCTATAGTGCAAATTGATTGAAATTGGAATTTTACCATTGGTCCTCAACCAAATGATTCTAGCGGTCAAGCGTTCGTTTCGAGACCTAGAGCTTCTAAAACTAATCCTTGGAACGAACGTGGGTCCAAACTGGCAAGGAAATCTCATTCTAGAATAAAACAGCCGTTTAGTGTTCCCTGGTTTTCTATGGTACCTTAAATGAAACCAATCTATGGCGAATACAACCTACAAATTAAACAAACCCCTTCAATCAAAAGAAACGATTCGTTACTTTCAATGCGTTTACAGTATTAATGAATATCAGTTAGATTGAGCAAATTCACATTATTCTTAGAGATTTATGCTAACTTGTTCCATGAATGAATGAACAAATCGTTCTCACCTCAAAAATTTTGTTGATATATTTCTAGGAAAATAAATTATATTGTATTGTAACTTGTAAGTGTGCATAAAATATACAATTTCGGACAACAATTGAATCTGTATATGACCCTAAGTAGATAGTTAACCTATGATATTCACTAACATTCCAACAAATAATGACATTCCATGAACTACCTAGCATATATGTATATTAGTTGCAAGGACGGAAGTCATTATTGTATGTCTGTGTATGTTTGATCATATAACGAACTTTTCCAAATCTACAAACAATTAGGCTTTTATTTGTGTCAATGTAGATAACACATCAAAGTGAAATGAATAGAACGTTGATTTGTAAATAATTTCAATTCTTTCAACTGATTTTGTGTTACTGACATATTTTTTATTTGACGAAATTGCACCATCGTATACCATTGTCTTCAGTGAGCTGATATCTCACAACAGACCTGGTTGAACTCCGCTGATAACGGCTTCTCACTAGAACTCCAGGAAATACCTGTTGAAGCCAGTCATTAGTGAGCAGATGATTATTATCAGAAGGAGTTTTGTGGAGATTTTAGAAATTTCACTAGTTAAAATTATGAGTTAATTGAAGCTAGATCACCATGGAAAACCTAGAAGCAGTGAACGGCCGTTTCTTCCTACTGTGAGACTCCTCATCAGTGCGCATCCACGATCCCGCACCCCGCAAAATTCGAACCCAGGACCTATTAGTCTCGCGCGCGAGCGTTTAACCACTGAGCCGGCCCCAAGCGGTGTTAATGTCTAACTTCGACCAATCCACGAAATTGCCCCATCGTATACCATTGTCTTCAGTGAGCTGATATCTCATATAACGAACTTTTCCAAATCTACAAACAATTAGGCTTTTATTTGTATCAATGTAGATAGCACATCAAAGTGAAATGAATAGAATGTTGATTTGTAAATAATTTCAATTCTTTTAACTGATTTTGTATTACTGACAGACTATTTTTTATTTGATTTCAATTTCATGAACATCTATGGAAAATTGATATAGTTCAAAATCAATCAATTTCCATCGAAATGTAACTGTTTCATTATTGAAAAATCCATCAACTTGTTTCTTTGTATTCTATTGCAGAATATTTCGGTGTCTTTTTGTATAGAGTATGGAATTTCTGTTTGATATTCAGCATTTTCTTGTGTAAATCATCCATTCATATAGTTTGATGACAACATAGAATGTAGAGAAATTAACATTTTATGTGGTACGTAAGTCAGTCAGTCTCAGCCTAGAACCTAATGCGTATGTATATCGGTTCAAGTTGCTATACCCCATTAGTACAGGGATGAAATTGTTTTAGAGAATCTCATAGTAGTAAAGGTAGAAACAGCATTAGTAGTAATAGAAAAGATTAAGTACTGGCGATACGTTTCAAGGAAATATAAATTAATGGAATAAAAAAATTCTGAAGAGTTTAGAAGTTTAGAATCTGGAGAAATACAATGAATGGATGTATCTACGCCATTGCAAATTATTTTGAGTCATAGCATTAAAAGCCTCTAACCATTGGTTATGATAGTCATGTAGTCCCCAACTAGGTAGTCTACAACTATTAACATGACTCGGTTCAATTAGCAATGACTTCGTGGACTGATGCTGTGTTTTGGTTTGTCCACCCCTAGCTTTTTTCCAGACTACTGTTACTCCAGACAGCATCGCTCATCAAAGTAGACGGTGCAGATTTACTACCTCATCAATCAGTTTCCCATCCTTACCTAGTAGCCCTAATTTGTGGTTCCAAAATACATAGATAATGCTTTAAAGATAACCATGACCGAATATTAGTAACCTATGAATGTCCTCTATTCTTAATGGCCATGATACGAAAATGACCTAATAAAAAGTAAAACGAATTGGACTCATAGATATATGAAGAAAATGCTTGGCATAAAACGGTAGGTTTCATTTCTGTTTATATTCAGGGGCAAGGCATATCCTCACTTTTTGTGAGATTCCATTCATGTCATTCAAAATGGTCTTTATGAGTTACGTAGACTTAGTAGCCACATTAAAACTTAATCAATCCAATTTATTTAGTAATATGGTTTGGGCAATGGTCGTGGTCATTAATCATTGATCAATCAGTATTACAACTCTGCAAGTTGGGGTTTTGTTGGTACTTTCTAGATTGGCTTCATTTTATATTTTTTAGTAAAATTTTGGAAGGAAAATTATGACCTTGTTGGAAATTCGATGTTAGGTGATTGCAGGTAGTCGATAAGAAACACCAGGAAACATCAGCTCCTATAGAATTGCAGGTACTCCTCGGTGACAGTTGTCAACCATGGGATGAAACCACTTAAGAAATCAACATAACGCATGTGGTGTTAAGTCACTTAGATTAGTGGCCACATTGTGACTTCTTCGACAGTGTTCAGTCAACATGAAAGAGCAGATAAACGTGACATTAATCACTACTCGATGATCAATCAATTATAGAGCCGAAATTATCAAAATAACTATTGATCACAAACTTTTAGCTTTTCTTTGTCTATCGTTTTAATCATTTAAAAATTGAAGGCTTATAGTAAGGAGGACGATTTAGTGATTAAAGCACTCGGCAATAACAGTTTCACTATGTTAGTTATATAATCCTTTACTAGTCCTGCTTTTTCGTTAGTTTTTGTTAAAACTCACGAGTTCCAAAAGAAACGTTCCCTTTCACTACAACTCTGGAACAGCACAACAATTTTTTAAGTATCATAGTTGCTGAATAAAGCTCATTTAGCTTCGTAATTCCACTTGAATCAGACAAATAAAAGCTGAGGTTTATTTTATTTCAATAACATAATTATAGTTTGCATTGTTGATTTCACTAATCCGTTATGTCACAAAAATTCTACCGAATATGGTCTATGAAATATTCAACGATCTGTTATGTTGTATGCAACAAGCTACATCATAAAGATGATATTCGTTTTTCTAGAGTACTGAAGCCATCATTCTATCCTATTATACAATTCCAAATAGAAGAATACAACTATGAATCGTTGTCTTTTAGATTTGCTTTAATATTAGGAAAATCATTAGATAACAATCAACAAAAGTGTTCATTTGTGAACGTGTTATATCCCGATAAGAATAATGAATGGTAACTTTTGGGATCCATTTATGGACCAATACTATGCGTATATTTTTATCGTATAATTGTTAAGTAACTAAACTGTTCATATTCATGTCCATCTTATTATTGTGAGCTTTATTTTGACCTATGGACTGTTATTATACGATTTACCATTCTTGAATTATGCCCTGTCTATCAATTACTATCTCCCACATTCACAGCCACTTTTGGCTAAATCTTGTACAAATATTTTTTTCATATTTTATGGTACGTTGTGGTCTGTCTGGTTGGTATATAAACCCAGTATGCTTGAAGTAAATGATTCATATTGCAGAGGCTGAAATTGGTGTTCTGGACTGATTAGGCTGGGCTAGGCGGAAAGCACGACCAATAAGCACTTTAAACTGCTCGTACTTGTTTTGTGCGTCATTGGTCTGGTCGATAAATCACTGTTCTCTAATTGGTGTTATCATTACGTTATACATTCACAGGACACTCAGGCCACTAGTTATAACAGAACGGGTGTTAATTTTATAAAGAAACTACGATATTTTACATAAATCTATATTCTCATTTATCTTTATATATAATTATTTCAATTGTATTATATAAATGGCACATATTTGAAATTACTCTAGATTGATCCCTAAAATAACACCATTATCACCTAATGAGTAAGTTCCAATTCTACACCTGTGTGTATGGAGTTCAATGGGAAAATTGTATTCATTTTGAATTTTTCCTCTAAATGTATTGTCCCCTGTAACTAGTTTCGGTGTATGGTCGTTATAATGATCAAGGTGTTTAGTGTTGTTTGTTTTTTCTTTTAGAAATTGTTTTCACACTTTCTGTCATGTAGCACTTTGTGTTCAGTATTTCTTTTTTTCAGTGACATTTTGTGGTCGTCACGCTATAATGCAAATTGATTTAAATTGGGATTTTACCATTGGTCCTCAACCAAATGATTCTAGCGGTCAAGCGTTATTTATTCATTTATTTATCATGAACTGAAGCCAGTTGAAGAAATACTGAAAACTAAGGATCACTAGGAACACTTAAGTAGTCATCACCTACAAGTTCATATGTGATTGAATTACAGTACTTTCAAGTCATATAGCGATCACTAAGTTAATAGATAATGGTTTTCACTCTCAATGTCAGTCATTCAGCGTCATAGCGCGACACTAATCCAGCATCTTGATTGGCGTTGTTGGTTTCTACCAATTACGGCTTCTTGCTGTATTCAGTTCATCTTTCTATCTGTCGTTTAGTTTTATGGTTTATAGTGATTACTTCATTATAGGTGAAGTTTTCGCTGATCACATAATACCGAACAACACTTACTGTTGTTTGATGAACACTGAATGTGCGAAATTCCCATGAAATCGAACCTCGGACTGCATAATGATTAAAGATAAGCCAATGAGTCATTAACCACTTATTGGTTAACATTACCAACTCCAATGTTTTTTCGCCTTTTTAGTAGTCAGTTCATAATTGAAACTCATTTCTACTTGAACTAGTCTCCTCCATAAGCTGTCCATTTGTAATTTATGAGTATCAATTTATTTTTTTTTGTAGTGTATAGGAATATGTTTTACATGTCTCCACTTAATCTTATGTAGGATGCACAAAATGAATGTTGTTTTGTTGTTGTTGTAAATACTCAATGATAATTGTTGTGACATTGTTTACTTTAAGTTGTTGGTTTGTTTGTTATTGCAATAAGTGTTTACTATTTATTCTTATCCTTTTTATTCCTGAAAATAATTTAGTGAACCTGGTCAGGATCAAGTATTATTATCATCACAGCCAGATATACAGAAACAACGTCAATCAGTTTCATCAGTTACTGGTAGTAGAGGAAGTATTTTTGAAGCAGTTCGTAGAAGATCTTCACTATTAATGAATCGGTAGTTATTTATTTATTTAGATTACACAATGTTTTGTTTCGTATTTTTTTTGTCATCGTTGAACCATCTGTTTGCATATGGTTTTTGAGCTGAATACCATTTAATTCTCTCTAATCTATTTTAGAAGTATCTAATCAGTTGATAATCCTTGTTTGGTAAAAGTATAATATAATGACGTTCTTGGCGACTTATCAGTCGATCAGGAGACGGTTAGCCATATAAAGTAATGAAATAATAGTGGAATAACAGCTTTGGTCGTAATAATTAAGCTTCACAAGTCAAATTATCCCTTGTAATAAAGAAAAAAGGGCAAGTTTACATATATATTAGGAGTCCGGTTAGTGTTATGATTATCACCTCATGTAGTTTTCGTCACCAACTGACACTAGAGATCATGCTAAATGGTTAGATTTAAGTATTAAGAGTCAAACTGGAGTTATGAATTAGGTTCATAATTTTTAACATGAACTGACATCAGCTATAATTCAATGACTTCCCACCTTCCTGTTTGTAAACCTAAAAAAACATAGGATTAAGATTTAGAACGGGAGTGAAAAAAATAAGGAGAAAATTATCTAGCTTCACAAAACACTTTTCTGGTAAGTGTTTTTTTAGCGAGTTAGTTTTCTACGGGATGGGGACGCTCACCCCATACCCAACCCTCCTCCTTTACACGGGCTTGGGACCGGCAGTAACTCTAGAAGAGCTACAGGCGGAAGTAAGTAAGTCACAAAACACTTGATTATACAATAAACGACATGAAGTACTTTAACACAAAATCTGTTTCAGAAGCAGGTAATTTATATAATTTAACTCAAGCACAATGTAAAAGCCACTTTTTCTTTATCGTATGACATATTTTTATTGATTTTTAGGATCGAATATTTGCCAATTATCACTTGGCTAATAATAACATGTTATCTATTACTGCACTGTAAACTTCATGTAAAATACATAAGGTTTCATAATAATTCTGATTTGTTAACTCGAGGCCATCAGTGTTTTATAATTATGCCGTTTTTCACTACCGTAGAGTTTCATATTCTTAATTAATCTATTTACTACCAGTTAGTATCACTATCCTATAAACACGTACATGATACATAAACACATGTATAATAGTAATCATAATAATGAGTTCTGTGGTTTTGAGTAGCATGTATACTCCACTATCAAACTCAGTATTTTCAAAGGCAATAGGTTAATTTTAATCACTTAGATATAAACATTCTTCTCTTTGATTGATGTTAAAATATTTCTTTTTGCTTTTATCACTTTCAACTATGTAAATTTCATTGAACTGTACTGTAGGTTTGTGTTCTATACATTCAGGAAATATTTGTCAAATACAATTTTCATATAAAAATGCCCTGACAAGTCATATGTGTTTGACCAGATTGTTCGAAATGTATAGCGCTAATACATCACATTTTTCAGATCAACTCCGTCTTCTCATTGTTCTATCGAAATACAATTTAAACAGTATAAAATCGGTTGTATAACGAAAGGTCGTAAACTTTTCATAAATGCACCTGAATAAGTCATTTGATTAATAAACATAATGATATGTTAAAACAAACAGAAAATAGATAACCTCTTTAAATATCTAGATGGTAGGAATAGGTTGCCCAGATATTCAAGCAGGTCACCTGGCAATATATATATATATATATTATTGTATATTATTTGACTCTGCAAGATATGAAGTTAATCGACTTGATTTCCTGTGTTAAATGTGAATGACCATGCAATTTTAAAGTAGGACGAGATTACTATTTGGTACTTTTAAATTGTAAGTGGTTTTCCAGTCATTATCACTCCACTATGTCAACAACCGATAGACCTGATTGGGTTGTTTTGCTAGGAGTAATAAAGCAATGTGATGTATGCTACTTATGTTGACAGATTTTTCATCTGAATGTATCTTCATCCTAATATCGGTATTGACGCGAAAATTGGAACCTTGTTCCAATCGCTCCAAACGCCAACACGTTATCCACTAGGTTCATGAGTTCAAATGGCAATTATGAACTTATTCGTAAGTCTTTTTATTTTCTCGTTTTTTAAAAAAAAATCTAACTTTACTTGTGACTAACCAGTTATACCGATACAGTCTATTCAGAATCCACATATGCCAATAGAGACTGGTTAACTGCAGCCCTTAATATAAACAACATAGAAATACATACTTTATTAATATCGGTAAGCAATATCATAGGGATAGGTCATATATAACTCCTTGTGTTATTTTTATTAGATATTTTGTTAACTTTTCAGACTTTCAATAGTCAATTGAAGCTAGACCACCATGGAAAACCTGGAAGCACTGGACGGCCGTTTCGTCCTATTGTGGGACTCTTCATCAGTGCGCATCCACGATCTCAACCGCGGGGTTCGAACCCAGGACTTATCAGTCCCGCACGCGATCGCTCAATCTCTAGACCACTGAGCCGGCACCCCTTCTGATACTTGTCAGATTTTGTTTAAATATTAAAACGTGTACAATTAACTGAATAATGTACTTAACTGGAATTATGTTAAGTGTGAAACATAATGTAAATGGTTTTATCCAATTTGAAGCTGTTTTATCGACATCTCACATATGATTTTTCAACTTATTATTAGTATTATTATTAATGACTCACTGGAATGCAAAATCATAATTAATCAATAAAAAAGTCACTTATTTCTATGCATCATTTATGTATAAGTGGATATAAATGTTCCTACTAAAAATAACTGATAACATATATATATATATATATATATATATATATGATTAATTGAGCGAGATCACAGGTCTACGGTGTTGATGAGTCCTTGCCAGCTCGAAACTCAAGTTAACTAAGGCTTCCTGCCAACTGTCTCCAATCAAAACAGTGCATACTGTAATGCCATGTATACTAGTGGGAATGTCGAAACTTGATCGATATAATTCAATGGGCGCTAAGGACTAGACGTATGCTTGACTTCATTCAATGTGCTCAATCAACGTATTTTGTCTAAGTGTTTAAATTCGTTTAATATTCTTCTAACCACCACAAATTATACTACCCTTCGATAGTATTTTATAATTATAACATTCTTATTTACTAAGTTGGTACATGTTCATTTGTAAAGCAATTAGTACAGATGTGAATTTTCATCAACTTAGGTAATTGAAATACATAACCTCCTCTCTACATGCTGTACTAGATTACATAAGAGTAGGTTGGAAAAAGACTAAAGGCCACTAAATCTATGATATAGCATCAGTCCAGACTGTTTGAGCGAATGTTGAGAGATGTAGACTTTCTTTTTGAGCCTTCGGAAATGATTGCAGACTTAACATGACATGGATTGAAATTAGATGACTTTATCATTCTCCAATTACTTTTTTAGTTTATTATCATTTCATACTTTTAATTCTTCAATTTCATTATCTTTAAAATGTTTTTTCTTACTGCAATTGATTCTGTTGATTTACATTCATCACATTCATTTATATCCAACAAAGTAATATCCTTTGACAATTGATCCAATAATGTCAAGCATTTTTAATTAGCGTAGTAGTATAATAAAGACTTTGTTGTATGCAAATGCTTAAATTAATCTAACTAATAAAAAGGGAATTAACATATCTAATCACTTAAGGGAAAGTACAAGAGATCATGTTGCCATAGTGATAACTTGGCAAGTTAAGAATTATAAAAAAAAATCAAATAGAGTAAAGAAAATATTAAAATGAAATATATCAGTATTTAAAATATAGAATATTGCAAATATGACCGTAAGATAATGCACAGTTATACACTATTTATAGTGTACAATCTATGATATCACCTTGTCAACATGTTCAACACAGTTGATACCAACAACTATGAATTTCACTAATCATTTTAATGGATTGAACTGGCTAGCTTCTTTCAGGGTATTTCCCGTTTTGTCATGAGAATTTCCGGCCTAATCGTTTCTAGTATAGTTAAAGCTTCTTCAAATAGCTACCTCAGAAATAAGACTACTTACAATAAACTGTAATTGCTGATCAATACGTGATTAATGTTAATCTGGTATCTGGCGAATAGCATTGATCTTTCAACTGATAGATACTAGATTCGAATCTCGGTAAAGACTATCAATGTGTATTTCACTTTACAGTTGTCTGGTAAATCGATCTGAAAATGTAAAAAACCTTACATTATAAATAATGCATCAATCTTATTCCTCTCAAAATATTTTCAAGTTATGGTAATATGTTTGTTCAATTTCTATTCCCATTTCTTAAAGTATCAGTATAGTTTTCAGACACAAGCTCTGATTGTTTTATACAGCTTTTCCAACTCATATTGTTTTACTTGAATCACTTGCACATAAAAAGTTCTCAAATTTACTTCATCAGTACTCATTTGGATAATGAATCGGCTATCGTAAAAGCAAGTTGTTGTAAACTTCAATTATTTTTGTCAAACTAGGAAATCGACAACCCTAGTATTATCCCTACAGTTTCCAAGACTCTTATTGAATTACTAGATCCACTTTTAGAGAAGCATACTTATTTAATGGGCTGTATACATAAATATACCTTAGAACTTTAAATTAACTTAATAACACCTACTTTATCCAGTCCGATGTATTCATTGGAAAAAATTACATTATATATATATTTATCCGCCCCCTGGTTGGTGGCTTCTGCTCCTCCACGAGGAGCAACAGACGTAAGTAAGTATATATCCACTCAAATATATTAAATACCATTGGTTTTATCCACATATCCAATCATGAGGAAAACAACCCATTCATATACTTGGTTCTTAATTTAGTAATAGTATAATGGTTACAATTGTATTCATTCTTAACTTATGCATGAATTGATTCCTAAATCTTTAACGTTATATTTAGTTGATGGATATAAATTGTCAATTAAATATTGAATTATGTAATAATATACATTGTAACATTAGTTTCTACTATAGAGATACATGTAGTTTGATGTATCTGCGTTTCATGTGTATTTATTGATT